TCGCTGTAGTGCGGTGGAGGGGGCGGGGGTGAGGCTCATCCTTTTTTGCCAGAATCTTCACGGAGCCCATTTATTCTTTCCTATTTGCCCACCTATTTTTCTCTTGAACCAACATTTACTGAGATCTACACCCTACACGTTTGCTCTGCACTCCAGACTCAGACGCATCACTGTGAACTTCCAGCCAGAGTATCTCAGCACAGCTGCTGCCCGCCAGGCCCTCCCCAGGAGTTTCCCTCCATTTCTCACACCATCTTTGCAAAGCATAGTGGCCCAGATGAGGACTATGGATCTCAGTGGGGAGGAGGTGACATGCACCAACTACTGAGCAAGAAGAAGGCCTGTGATCTGGGCTGGCTGATCCAAACCCCCGCCTTTTGCCATGACGTTGGGCAACACTGGTCCCTTGTTCATTTCCAGTTATTGCCCAGGGCCTCATGAAGCACAACGCAGAGGGCCGAATCCAGAACCTCCACCTCCTGAGCAGTCTGAACACCTCTGGTCAGGCGGTCCCCGGGATGATGAGCTGGCTGATGAATGGCTTGAAACTCCAACAGCAGCAGCTGGAGAGCAGGTGAGAGCCTGCTGCCCTGGTCTGGGGTTCCTGTTAGAGCTGTGGGGCAGAAGGTAGAACTAGGAGGTTGCGGGCGCTGGGCCTGCAGAGAGGAAAGGAAGGAGGGCTGAAAGGAGAGAAGGTGGAAGGCCTGGGGCAGGATGAATGGGGGCATGCGGGGGAGGCCGCAGGGCAGAGTAAGCTGACAGCTGGGCTAGCCAGTGGTGTGCTGTGTAAAGCAGCTGGATCCCACAGCAAGGTTTGAGTCCTGAAATACACGCTAGGTGCATGTGCATGTGTGCCCGAAATCCTGAAAGGGGGAGAAATGGAAAAAGGGATTGCGATGTGGCCATCTCCATGGAGAGTCCTTTCTCTCTCTGTCCCTCGCTCTCGCTCTCGCTCTCTTCAGTGAGTACACAGGCCCTCTGGCAAATTTTTAAAACGTGACAGCTCAGGAGTAAAAGTGTGTTTAAATCCCAGCTCAGCCACCGACCTTGGGGACTTGCTTGACTGCTCTGGACTCCTCTATAAAATGGGCTCACAGAGCACAACACAGCCTGGGTAAACACCTGGGGTATCAAACAAGCCCAGGACTGGAGTCAGCCATTTGAACCCTCCTCGATTTCTTAATCGCTGTCTGACTCCACACAGAGCATCTGAGCACCTGAGCTTCAGCCTAGAGTCCTCTTCAGTGAACTGGGCCTGAGTGTCCTTGCTGGGAGCTTTCCGAATCAGCCATCTGGTCACTTCTCTGGTGTGCACTGTGGAGGCTTAACCTGTGGCCGCCGTGACTTACCTTGCAGAGCTGGCCTGTCCTGCTCGTGTCCATCAGAACTCCTTTTCCCATACCCAGGTGGGCTCCTCAGCCTCCCAGGTCTCCACGCTGCTCGAGTGCAAGCACCATTATTCCTGCCAGCTCTGCCCTTGGGCTCCCTTCTCCCTGATTCCAGCCCCTCGCTCTCCCCATCATGATGAGAACCGACAGTCAACAGAAAGGCCAGAAAGGCTTACTTTTTTTTAGGAATGTTTTATTTCATTTTATTTATTATTAGGATTATTATTATTTTAATTTGTTATAGAATACGTGCACTCACAGAGAGAGGGGCAGGGGAAAGTGAGAAAGCAAGCCACCAGGTCCAGTACTCGAACCATGGTTGGTCATGTGGAAGTCCAGGCGCCTAATCACCACGCCACCTGCTGGCCCCAGCAAGGCTTTCTTATGATACATGCAGCTGCAATCACTTCCCTTCATTTGTTCCTGTAATAGATGTGACAATTATTCACGAGCACCTACTGTGTACCAGGACCTGGGTACTGGAAATACGGCTATGGACCAGACATATGGTCACTGCGTCCTAGCTAGTGAGACAGGCCATGGACAGTAAGCAATTCCAGGTAGAAGGACATGTTAGGAAGACAATTTAGCAAGGTAAGGGGTGAGCGTGAGGGGGCTGGTCAGGAGGGCCTTTCTAAAGAGGTGGCCTCTAAGTAGAGACTTGAAGAGGACAAGCATGAGGGTAGAGCATGCCGGGCAGAGGGAGCGAGGGCAAAGGCCCCAAGGTAGGAGAAATTGGCCTCTCTGAGGAGAAAACAAAGTCCTGGGTGGTCCAGTACTCGAACCATGGTTGGTCATGTGGAAGTCCAGGCGCCTAATCACCACGCCACCTGCTGGCCCCAGCAAGGCTTTCTTATGATACATGCAGCTGCAATCACTTCCCTTCATTTGTTCCTGTAATAGATGTGACAATTATTCACGAGCACCTACTGTGTACCAGGACCTGGGTACTGGAAATACGGCTATGGACCAGACATATGGTCACTGCGTCCTAGCTAGTGAGACAGGCCATGGACAGTAAGCAATTCCAGGTAGAAGGACATGTTAGGAAGACAATTTAGCAAGGTAAGGGGTGAGCGTGAGGGGGCTGGTCAGGAGGGCCTTTCTAAAGAGGTGGCCTCTAAGTAGAGACTTGAAGAGGACAAGCATGAGGGTAGAGCATGCCGGGCAGAGGGAGCGAGGGCAAAGGCCCCAAGGTAGGAGAAATTGGCCTCTCTGAGGAGAAAACAAAGTCCTGGGTGGCTGGGTGTGCAAGCCAGAGGGGCATAGGGGTGGGGCTGTGGAAGTGCGTGGGGCCAGGCCCTGAAGGTCTTGGGTGCCATGGTGTGGAGTTTGGATTTTGGTCCAGGAATGTTGAGAAGCCAGTGAAGAATGCTGAGTGGAAGGGGAGTATTGGGCCCTTCCAGCTGCTCCATGGAGAATAGTCGAGATCACAGCAGGGAGCCCAGGAAGGGACCAGGACCCCTCCAGGTAGGAGATGATGGTGACCTAGACTGAGTGAAGCAACAGAGGCAGTGGTAGGTAGCCGAACTCAGGATATGCTTTGCAAACAGAGCCAATGTGGTTTGTTGATGGATTGAATGTGGAGAAGGATGGAGAGAAAACAAAGAGGCCTGCTAGCGTCTGGGCCTTGGCTCCTGGGGAGATGGTGAGGCCCTCTATGGGGAGGGGAGCTTGGCCTGAGAACAGGACCAGGGCCTGCGTCTGCAGCCAGTGGGCTGCTGGCTCTGGGTTGCATAAGTCATAGTGCTGTGGGGCGCTCTGGAGCAGCTCACGGCCCAGGGCTGCTGCACCTGGCCGGTGACCTCAGGGCGTGTGTGAAGGTTCTGGCTCCGAACTCACTGCCAGGCCCTCTTTCTAGACCAGCCAGCCTTGTTACTTGGGCCATCCCTGTTCTGAGGTCCCTCACTCTGGGGGGCTCTGCTCTTTCTCTGTGCAGCCTCAACATCACCAACATTCACCTGGACTACGGTGGGATCCAAATGTCTTCCCATCAAGAGTGGCTCTCGGCAAACATCTCACTTGACTTTGACATTGAACTGCGAATGTGAGTCATACAAAATCGCATCTGAGAGGCACTGCTCCTCCTCACTGGGAACCTGGTTGCTGGGGGAAGTTTGGCAGCCTTGGAAACCCAGATCTTTCTGACCCCAACCTGAATTCACATCCCAGCTTCTGAACCCACGTGCTATGTGCCCTCGGCCAAAGCGCTTCACCTCTCTGAGCTTTAGTTTCTTTGGCTGAAATGCGGATGGCAATCATTACCAGAAGCAGGTGTTTGCTTATTTAAACGAACATGGGTTCCCCATACTGGACTGGATTAAGGAAAGAAAGGGAGAACCGCTTTCATCCCATCAAGCCCCTGTTCTTCAGCCTCCATTCAAATATCCTTCAACATCCACTGCCCCAAGGAGAAGGGGGCTACAGCTAAATGGGAAAGGTTTTTCTTTTGTGGTTGTTTTGCTTTTTTTAGGTTTTTGCCATAGGGCGTATGTGCTTGACAGAGAGAAAGACAGTGAGAGGGGAAGTGAGAAATTACCTCCCAGCAGGGATGGCCAGATAGTAATCTCTTCTCCTCCATTTCTTCCTGCGCTTTTGGACACACACACACACATGTGCCCAGTGTGATTTTCAAGCTGCCAGGTCCAGACTCGAACCGTTGTCAATCATGTGGGAGTCCAGCACCTTAACCACCATGCCATCTGCTGGCCTGGGAAAGATTTTTAAAACAGAGGTTAACTCTAAACTTCTGAATTTCCACAAGTCCCTAGTGTGGCCTGTTTAAAAGATTTCAAGTCACTCTGGTTAATAGCAGTTTTCTCCTTAAGCACAAATTCAGGATTTATCAATGCAGGCAACATGAAGCCCCTGGGCCCAATTGGTTAAAAGAACTGAGTGCTAGGCCAGCAAGTGGCATAGAGGTTAAGGCACTAGATCCTTTTTTTTTTTTTTTTTTTGAGAAGTTTTTGCTATAGAGCGCGTGTGCTCGCCAGACAGACAGAGAGAGAGAGAGTGAGACAGCAAGTGAGAAATCACCCCCCAGGGGGGATGGCCACACCACAGTCCCTTCTCTTCCATTCTCCTCTCGGGATCTTGGGCACGCACGCACATGCGCCCGGCATGAGTTTAAGCTACCAGGTCCGGGACTTGAACCGCAGTCAGCTACATGGGAGTCCAGCGACATAGCCACTACGCTAACTGCTGGTCGCAAGGCACTGGATCCTACATGGTCTGCTCCATGGTTTGAGTCCTAGACCTGACAGCTTGAAAATCATACCAGGTGCAAGTGCATGCATGTCCAAAATCCCAAAAGGAGATTGAAGAAGGAATTGCAGCGTGGCTATCACCCTGGGGAGGTGATGTCTCACTTTCTCTCTCATTGTCTCTATCTCTCCCTGGTGAGTGCACTCGCTTTAGAGCAAACTAAAAAAAAGAGGGGAGGGGGAGTATCAGGTGGTACAGTGGTAAGGCCCTGGACTCCAGTGGCTGACCCCCGTCTGAGTTCTGGATCTGGTAACTTGAAACTCCTGCCAGACATGAATGCGTGCATGCCCCATATCCCAAGAGTGGACTGTGGCAAGGCTATCCCCCCGGAGGGTGATTTCTCACTTCCTGTCTTTCAGTGAGCACATGCCCTGTGGCAACAATGACAACAAAATCCCTCTTAAAAAAAAGAGCTGAGTGCCAGGGGAGACCTGTCAATGGACAGTGCCTATCATGCTGACTTCTTCCAATTCCTTCTGCTCTTTCTCTGTCTCCTCCTGCACCTCCCCCTCCCACACACACACACCCCTGCTACTCTTCCTCCTTCTCTCTCATTACAGGCCCTTCAGTAACAAGATCGTAAGGATGCATGCGTACATGAGCCTCGTGGTTGAGTTCTGGCTGGAGAAGGACGAGTTTGGCCGGAGGGATCTGGTGATGGGCAAATGCCATGCAGAGCCCAGGAGTGTCCACCTGATGGTCCTAACTGAGTGAGGCCCCGGCTGCCCTCCCCAGGGCTGGACTCTCTTCCTGAAAGGCCTGGCTGCAGCATCATTCATTCCCCCCTGCCCCATACAGCACCTCCTGAAGGAATCCAAAGTAGATCTCACCTTTGCCCAGGATCTGCTTGCCCCCCATGTCCCCATCCAGTTCTGGCCCTGCTACTCTCCCAGAAGCTAGATTCACTCCTCTTTGCTCTCCACACCCTAAGGTCACACTTTCCATCACAGTGTCCCTTTCTCTGCCTCCTCACAGCTACCACCCAGCTCATAATCCACTGCCTACACCATTACAGGGGACTCCTCCCGACTATCCCTGACTCAGACCTCACTCCTTCACTCCATTCTTCACCCTGCAGAGGGTAACTTTCTAACCCTGAAATCTGGCCATGGCCCCAGCCTCTGCTCCGAAACCTCTGGATGAACAGCAAACTAGAACATCACTTGTGGCACTACCGTTCTCTCCCCTGCCCTACTCCGAAGGCTGTGCCCTGCACTCCAGGACGCATTCCTCCACAAGGCCCCATGCATTTTCACACCACTGTGCCTTTGCACGTGCTGATCCCTTTGCCTGGAATGCCCTTCCTGCCTTCTCTAAAGCTTCCCCTCTCACTCGTTCATTCATATATTTACTGAGAATCGACTCCATGTCAGGCACGGCATTTGATGCCACACATACAGTGGAAACCAGGCAAGAAAAGATGAGCTTAGTGGAGGTAGACTGAGTCTGTCAATTTCAACAGACTGGATCCCTGGAGGCCACGGTTTCTGTCTCGTGTATCTCTGTAATTCCAGAATGCTGAAATCAACTAAGCCCGCAGTGGATGAATGCTCATTTAGTCTATGGACAGTCACTGAGTGCCTACCCGGTACCCGGCAGTCACAGAACAGTGCAGAGAAGTCCGTGGCTCTTCTGATGTGGCTCTCATGTAGTCAGCCCTTCCTCGCTGTGTGACCTTGGGCAAGTCACGCCACCGCTCTGAGTTCCCCTTTTGACTATTGCTGACATTGATCCCTCGTGTATAGGACCAGGGTGAGGATTAAATGATGGCTACCCGGCATTAGACCCGCCTGGATTTATCTGTTCTGGTCTCCATCTTCCTCTCTTCCTATGGCCATCCCACCAAACATAAAACATTTTCTCCGCAACCTCAGAGAGAATCTGGAACAAGTTATCCCACACCTGGTAGAAAGTCAGGTGAGTTTAAGAAAAACCATTTTTATCTTGGGCATCCTGGAGTCTGAGAACATACATTGGGTCATCAAGAAAATGATGATGTATTTTTGCATAGAAAAATACATCGTTACTTTCCCAGTGACCTAATATACTGGCAATTTAATAAAGGGTTTCAAACCTTGCACTTCAGAACCTGAGAAATCCCAGTGAAACGTTTGCCCTCAGTTTTACTGGTGTGTTCCTGGGCAAGAGACTTCCCCTCCCTGAGCCTCAGCATCCCCATCGGTAGCGGGGGAAACATCACAGTCCCTGTCTCAGTTGTCCGGAGGGTTTGGGGAGACAGAGCGTGTGCGGAGCATGGCTCCCAGTGTGTGCAGGGAGCCGTGATCCCTGCTGGAAATCCAGTGGAGTCCAAGCTCCCAGCCCGGGACAGTTGTCTCCTTCCCCACCCCTTCTTTCTGTGCTGGTGGTCTAGGTGTGTCCTCTGATCAGTGAAACCCTCAGACAGCTGGATGTGAAACTGTTGAAAAGCCTCATGGGTGAGTGTCCGACCTGCCCAGGGAGGACTCAGATTGGCCGAAAGAGGTACTCTTTCCTGGGTCCCCAGTGAGGCCTGCACTTGCTGTGAAAACACAGTAGAGGGTCCCTATTGTGATGACCAGTACTGTCCCCTGAGAGAGCTGGGACAGCAGAAAGGGCACCAAGCAGAGAGGGCACCCCTCAGGCTGTGCACTGCTGAGTGGCCTAGACCTTTGGTTATCAGAGCTTCTAGCTTCTCCCAAGATTCCATCCAATCTTGGGAACGTCTCCCCTCCCCAAACTGGAGACCACCCAACTCCAGGTGCGAACAGCTCCAGGCCCGCCCTCTAAGAGCTCACAGTCTAGTGGCGGAGAGAGCAAGGAGCCAAGCATCAGCTCTCAGCCTCGGCAGTGGCACTCAGTCAGCATGGCGGATGTGTCTCCCTGCAGGGTGGACCTGGCGCTGGAGGGTGGGCACACTGGTGACTCTGCTTCCTCTTCTCTTCCACAACAGGCTGCTGTCAGTGAGCTCCCAACCATGAAGTCAGCCAGCCCTCCATGGGCCAGCCCTGAGGTCATGAACTGCCTATTGTCAATCCCATCTTGGGACCTTGATACGGGCCAGCCCTGAGGTCCTGAGTTGCCTATTGTCAATCCCATCTTGGGACCTTGAGTCTCTCTCATATGGAGCTTCTGCTGTCCCCAAAAAACTTTTACCCCAGACCCAATGGGTATCTGGTCCTCTCCCACAATAAACTATAGCTCTGAGTCCCCCCTCCCCGGCCTGGCCCTGAGTTTAGGTCCAGAAGTCAGACCTGGTGACCTGAGAGCAGATATCCCAGTCTCGCTCATCAGCCCAGAAACGCCAGAGAAAACACTCTTGGCCTGGATGGTGCAACCAGAAGCCCCTCCATGGATTTGCTCATCGATGCAGGGAGGATCTGTTGCGATTTCCCACTTTCTCATTCATTCCGCCTACATATATATTTTTTTTTTGAGAGAGGTTTTTGCTATAGGGCATGTGTGCTCGCCAGACAAACAGAGAGAGACAGAGAAATAAGAAAGTGAGAAATCACCCCCTAGGGGGGATGGCCACGCCGCAATCCCTTCTCCTCCATTCTTCTCTCGGGATCTTGGGCACGCCCGCACACGCACCCAGCGTGAGTTTAAGCCACCAGGTCCAGGACTTGAACTGCTGTCAGCTACATGGAAGTCCAGTGACATAGCCATTACACCAACTGCTGGTCCCACCCATATTTATTTATTGATTACCCATTTTGTGCCAAGAATGTTGCTTGGGTCCAAGGGGGTAGAGGGAAGCCATGGAAGAGTGAAAAACCATGACATAAGACCAAACAGATCTGAGTTCAGATTAGATTCAGCCCAAATCAAAGTTCCATGAGGGTGGGGACCCTCCACCCCCACCCTGTGCAACATGGTGACCATCACGGGAGGCCTGGCACCAAGCGTGAGCTCAGTGAACGTGTTGGTCTTGGGACTCCTAGCTAGAGCACTTCACCTTGGGTTTTACTGCCTGTGAAGTGAAGATGGAAATCTTGGGTGAATATAGAGCATCAGGGGCCCTCACCCACTGCTGGTGGGAGTTGAGTCAAACCACCACTTTCAGAAATCATGCAGCAGCTTCTACTGAAGCTGAACATATATTACACCTGCCCCGTGACTCCACGATCCTGGTCCTATGCCTCTGCTCAACAGAAATACAAGCCCCACATGCACCAAACAAGGATGATCAAGCAGCGGTTTCCATAGCAGCCTCAGACTACTAACTCCCCTAAATGTACAAGAATGAATAAACATAACGAGTAAATGCCAAGTGGGAATGTCGCCCAATGGAATACTCCATAGTAATAAAAATGAAAATGACCTGCAACGATCTATGACCACATGGATGAATCTCAAACAAATTACATGAAAGATGTCAGACACAGAAGAGCACAAGCTGCATTTCTCATTTGCATGAAGTTCAAAAATAGTGAAACTAACCCATGCCATTAGAGGTCAAGATGTTGGGGGTGGGGGTCAGCAGATGACGTAATGGTTATGTCACTGGATTCCCATATAGTCGGCCATGGTTCAAGTCCCAGACCCTGCCACCTAAAACTCATGCCAGGCACATATGCATGTGTGCCCAGAATCCCGAGAAGAGAATAGAAGAGAAGGGATTGCAGTGTGGCCATCCCCTCTAGGGGGTGATTTCTTGCTGTCTGTCTCTCTGTTTCTCTCTGACTCTCAGGCAAGCACATGTGGCCTATAGAAAAAAAAAAAAAAAGCACTCTACAGATAGATAAATAAATAAGATGGGAGTTACTTTGGGGCAAGGGGTATCAACAGGGTGCAGTTTCTGGAGAGCGTGTACTGTTTTGTTTCTTGATCTGGGTGCTGGTGGTGGGGAAGTGTGTTCAGTTTGTGAAGATTCATTGAGCTCTTCACTTATGTGCATTTTTCTTGTGTGTTATGTATTTTAGCAAAATATTTTTATAAGTTTTTGCCATAGGGGACATGTACTTACCAGAGACAGTGAGATGGAAAGTAAGGAATCACACCCCCAGGGGGATGGCCATGCCACTGTCCCTTCTTCTCCATTCTCCTGGGATCTTGGACATGCACACACGTGCCCAGAGTCATTTTCAAGCCACCAGGTCCAGGACTCAAACTGCAGTCGGCCAGTGGGAGTCC